ACACACACACACACACACACACATACACTGCAAAAAATGTCCACCTAACCAAGTTTTAAAATCTTATATCAGCCAAAAAGTCTTTTTGATCTTGTTTTGAGACTGATTTACTAAACAAGAACTGATTGTGTAAGAATAATAATCTTGTTTTCAGAATGTGTAAGATTATTTGTCTTGTTAGTCTGAAAATTTGACTCGAATTCAGTCAAAATTTTCTGCCAATGGAGTAAGAATATTTTACTTGGTAAGATTCTTGAAATAAGAAAAAAATTGAGTCAAATTAAGTATTTCAAGAATCTTACCAAGTAAAATATTCTTACTCCACTGGCAGAAATTTTTGACTGAATTAGTGTCAAATTTTCAGGCTAAGAAGACAGGTACCATATTTATTTGTGTATAATACGTAAAATTTAATCCAAAAAATCATCCATAAAGTTGGGGGTAGTATTATATTCGGATAAATATTTTCACTTATGTATTTTAACTGAAATATCAGCAAAATTATTCAGTCCGGAAATGAGACAGCGTCGTAAAAAGCAGTTGATTGAACACACCTCTGACACTCCTCTGTGTTGCAGAGTGAGATAATAACAGATCCAAGCAGGCGACATGATGTGGGGAAAAAAGGTGGTGGGGGGAGGGGAGTATTCCAGCACCTTAGTAATGATAACGAACTAATGACATTAGCGTGTGACCGAGCCGCTCCTCGAACAACAACAAACATAAGTTTGTCTGTAAAGGCTGCCGTCTACCGGTGTTCTGAAAAAGTTTGTATCCCTGAAAAATGTTTCCCCACCAGAGGGGGTGCTTGCGAGTAGGAAGTAATCTGCTTTTCCCTCACAAGATGGTCCAATGTGAAGTCTCTGACTTTTGTGTTGGTGCATTCTGGTGGACTATGTGTAAAATGCCAGAATTCATATGATGCTGCTACAGCTGATATATATTTTTTGTCAAAATACCTTTTAGTACATATGTTGTTAAAATAAAATGAACAGTCCTATGATCATTTTACTGAAATGTATAAAGACTGCAAAGGCTGAAAAATCTTGAAGTCTGTATAAAATTGGAGGTAGTTTGACAGATTCAATTTTTTATGCTTTTTAAGCTCAGAAGGGGGGTCTATTATACATGAGATCGTATTATACATGAATAAATACGGTAATCTTACACATTCTGAAAACAAGATTATTATTCTTACATAATCAGTTCTTGTTTAGTAAATCAGTCTCAAAATGAGATCAAAAAGACTTTTTGGCTGGATATAAGATTTTAAATCTTGGTTAGATGGACAGTTTTTGCAGTGCAACTGCAGTTTCCTCGTCTTAGTTCTCCTCTGGCTTTGGATCAGACTTTGGTTCTAACATATAAGGCTGGATGGACAAGTCTTCCCTTGTTGACATCTTAATGAAGTTGTAAATAAAACCTTTCTGCACCGCTAGAAAATGCTAACCCCTGTTCTCAAGCCAGAGTGAACTAGTCTGGAAGCCGGAGGGGGGCGGGGGCTTGAGGTGCCTTAAAAGAACCGTAACAAAGCAAGATGCTTTGAGACACACATCAGAAGTTGAGTGAAAGAGGAGCTGGTAAAATTAGAATAAGGAGGAATTTAGATTGTTGTTCCAATAAAGACCCCAACTAAATGATTTAAATGTGAAATATAAGGATTTCCATGTCCACTTTAAGCTGCCACTTCAGTGTTTTTTTTTCTTTATAAATACTTTATTATATTATATTTATACTATTATTCAGCTCTGACTTTGCCTGTTCCCTGGCCCTATCTGATCCAGACTTCACCTGAAAGATAACCACCATATCAGGTGGGTTTTTCAGATTTTTGGCTGAGCCAAAAATGGTTCTATCTTGGTAAATTTTACTGATATGGAGCTAAAATGAAGTGTGGTAGTAGCTGAGAGTCATTCACAACATACACTCTGACTACAAGATATTTTAACTGTAAGGTTCTTTTCATTAGTTTGATTTAAACAGCTAAAGTCTCGTTTCTCATCAGAAGATAATCTTGGTCTAAAACCTTTACATACAGTGAGTGATGTGAATCCCTTCAAGAAAAACTTGATTTTTTAAAAGTTTTTACATTTTGATTTCTGCATTTTTAAATTTACACTCAATTCTTACAGAGCAAAAACTCAGTTTTCTTTTTTTTCTATGTAACTATGTATATACAGCAGCTAGACCCAAACGCATAAAAAATCTCTTCCGTTTTTACCAAAACATATTTAAGTTGTAGTTTTGTGATGAACATTGTCTCACATAAGACATACACATAACATCACATAACAATCTCCACTGCTGGAAAACTGACAAAACTATTTAACGGTTTATAGTTTACAAAATGATGACATCTGCTGGTTAAAAACTGCAACAAAATTCCATTAGCCACCCACCCCTCTAAATAAATCCATCCATCATCTACACCCACATTTCCTGTCTGGGTCGTGGAGTCCATGGTGTCCTGGTCCAGCAGCGACTGGGGTGACTGCACACCTGGACAGGTTTCTGTGTTTAACCGAGTTGCAGCTCCCAGCTCCTGTTTCTACCTTTAATCTTTAATCTGTTTGTTTGAAATGATAAAACTTTTAAACTCTTGTATATTCACAGCTCTACATAAAAACATATCTCTGAATATTTTATTACACTTTGATTATTGATATTTGTTTGTGTGGTACCAGTAATAGTATTTGTCTGTGTGTGGTACAAGTATTTGTATGTGTAGTACCTCATCCCTGCAGTGGTGCAGCAGGGGCTCCTGAACAGTGGAAGTGGACGTTTTGCCACCGGCTGTCCCTGCGGTGCCATACTCTAGTCTCTTCTGATTGGCTAGAGCGAGGTCGACCCTGGCTGTCCACAAACTGTGTCAGGCGAATGTAGGCGATGCAGGCTGCGTCATCTCCGATGATGTGCACGTGAGGGTTGAGGATGGTGGTGTGGATGGGTTTGCTGTTCTTAGAAAGCACTGATGGATGAGAAGGGCCTTATTAGGATGCAGGTGTTAATCTTAACATGAAATCTCAAAAGCAGGAACAGGAAAAACTTTGCTCTTACGATTGTCAAAGTAAAATCTATGAAAGTCCATCCCCTCCACCAGGTTTCCCAGCCCCTCAGGTTCAAACGAGGTCAGACCAGGGTCACAGATCTTCCTGAAAGGTCAAAGTCAAAATTTTGAAACATTTAACTTTCTTTCTGAAATGATCACATTAAGGTGAAAAACCTTTTTTAACAATGCTGTAACTGAACAAACAACTGTCAACAAAAGCCAATGTATTGTCTCGCGTCATCCCTTGCTGTCTTATCTTTTTATATCATCTCAAGCTGTTGTATTGTCACATCTCATGCTGTCATATCTTCTCATTTCATGCTGTTGTATCTTCACGTCATCTCATGCTGTTTTGTCATCTCATGCCATCCTATAGTCTCACATTGAATCTCGTGCACAGTCTCGTTGTCTCATGCCATCCCATATTCTCATGTTGAATCTCCTCATGCTATCATATGTACTCATGTCACCTCTTGCTGTCATACAGTATCTTCTCATGTCATTCTCATGTTCTTTAACTCATCGTATTGTACCTTCTCATTTAAGCACAGTTTCATCTCCATTTCCTTATTTCATTGCACTATTTAATAGATTTTTTTCTTATCATGTACCATCTTATTGGCAAGCTGGATAGAAGTTAACCACAGGCAGTTGAATAGGCCTGTTCTAAAGTATAAAACTGACCAAAATTAAAGATTTGAGGTAATAAACCAGAACTGATTGTGGTTCTCTAATTTTCTGTTTTAATCAATCAAGAAATTTCACTTAATATCTTAATTTTTAACTAAAAAAATGTATTAATATTTTTACTTCATCTAACAATGTTAGCCTCAACATGCCCTCATTGTACTAAAACTGTATTAGTCTTAATAAATTCTTCATTTTTTTAAAATCATATATATAAATTTATGTTTGGAAAAAGATACATTTTTGTATACTTTACAATTTTTGTCTGTTATGTCATGTGAAAATGGACTCTTATGGACTTTGCCCTCCATTCTCTCTCAGCCTGCATTAATCTTAATTATACAGTAAGTAGAGGGAGGAGCAACGGATGGAACAATGACTGAAATTACTCTTTAATCTTTTAATACAACACATTTGGTTGCCAATCATATTAATGGTTCTTCCTGGCTGATGGATGTTGACTTTACATGTTTCCTGGTTGTTTGAAGCTTGATGTGAAATCAAAGAAAAGTGGTGAACTCACGCGTAGGCTTCAAAGTCTCCATTGTTGACAGCTTCGATCAGCTGCTCTGTGATCTTTATTATCTCCTGTTTGCGAGCTGAGGAGGAGAAACACCATGAGATCAATGCGATCAAATGCCAATATCATCATCAAGACACAGGAGGTCAGACTTCAACCATCAGAGGGTTAAAATCCCACAAGAGCTGGTCATTTGTCTTCAGTCTTCTAGACCTCATGTCCTCCTCAGGACAAACAGAAACTATTGTACAGGATACATACCCCCCATCATCTGTCTAGGTGCCACATCTCCTTCTGCCTCCATTTATCATCCATCAAACCTCCTGTTTGTCTGTGACGCTGCTCGATTTCATTCTTGTCTCAACCCTTCAGACGAGTTTCACTGTGTCGTCTCCCGCTGCTTCCTCCCCATCTGAGAGGAGGTCTTAACTCGCTCAGATTGTCTCTTTCTCCCCTCCCATCGCATTATTCTCCACCCACCTCTCCATGTTCAGGCCATTTCATTTTCTGTGCCCTTTTTCTCTCAGAAACACACCTTCATAGATGTGATGAATATCATTTTTGGAACTCTCATTAAAATACAAACAACCCAACCTAAACAACTCTTTAGTCATTTAACTTTAAATACAACAAAATCTGTTCCTAACAACCCTTTAACAGAGTTTTATATGTCCTGATGATGTTATATGTCTGTACTGGAAGGCTCTGACAGCCCTCAAATTAAGTGCAGATAATCTTCATCTTAAGCTGCTTAGAGTATTAAATATTTTTGGACTAAACAGCTGCACACACATGCACATACGTTTTCACTACTTTCTGCACTGGATAACAAACTGAATGAACTAAACTGCTGAAAACAATTATTTTAAAAAGGAAAGCAGTTATAAATCTACTACATTTTTCCTTATAGAGTTTTCTCTGCATGATTAACTGATAGCTGTGTTTTTGGCTAAACGAGTTTCATGAGTTCCTGCAGTTTTTCTTAAATGAAGACAAAACCTCTGATCCCACAGGCCACAGCCTTCATAAGAACCACCTACACACTTGGACAAAAGTGTTGGTGCCCCTTGTTTAATGAAAGAAAAACCCACAACGTTCACAGAAATAACTAGAATCTGACAAAAGTAATATATAAAAAATTCGATGAAAATGAACAAATGAAAGTCACACATTGCTATTCACCCATGCTTCAACAGAATTAAAAAATAAACATGAAACAGACCTGGACAGAAATGATAGTACCCTTAAGTTAATATTTAGTTTCACAACCTTTTGAGGCAATCACTGCAGTCAAACGGTTCCTGTAACTGTCAATGAGACTTCTGCACCTCTCAGCAGGTATTTTGACCTTCAGGAGCAAACTGCTCCAGTTGTCTCAGGTTCGCTGTTTTCCTCTTAGCCATTCTTGGGTGTTTTTAGCTGTGTTTTGGGTCATTATCCTGTTGAAGGACCCATGCATGACCTGTGACTGAGCCTAGCTTTCTAACACTGGGCACATTTCTCTCTAGAAGGCCTTGATAGTCTTGAGATTTCATTGTACCCTGCTCAGGTTCAAGACACCCAGTGCCAGATGCAGCAAAGCAGCTCCAGAATAACAGAGTCTCCTCCATGTTTCACAGCAGAGACCGTGTTCTTTTCTTCACATGCTTCATTTTTCCCTCTGAACACAGAGCTCATGTGCCTCGCCAAAATGTTCCATTTATGTTTCATCTGTCCAGAGGACATTTCACCTGAAACTTTGTGACTTGTCAACATGTAGTTTGGCAAATTCCAGTCTGGCTTTTTAATGCTTTGTTTTCAACAATGGCGTCCTCCTTGGTCATCTCCCATTATGTCCACTTTGGCTCAAACGACGACAGATGGTGTGATCTGACACTGTTCCTTGAGCTTGAAGTTCACCTTTAATCTCTTTAGGAGTTTTTCTGGGCCCTTTTGTTACAATTTGTATTATCCGCCTCTTTGATTTGTCATCACTTTTCCTCCTGCGTCCCATGGATCTTAAATTTCTGAAAATGTGCAACTGTAGTCACAGGAACATCAAGCTGCTTGGAGATGGTCTTATAACCTTTACCTTTAACATGCTTGTCTATAATTTTGTTTCTAATCTCCTGAGACAACTCTTTCCTTCTCTTCCTCTGGTCCATGTTGAGTGAGGTCCACACCATGTCACCAAACAGCACAGTGAGTATCTGTAGCCCTATATACAGGACCACTGACTGATTACAAGATTGTAAACACCTGTGATGATAATTGAACACACCTTGACACCTGTCCCTTTGGTCACATTACTTTCAGGGGTACCATCATTTCTATCCAGGCCTGTTTCATGAGTTTTATTTTTTTAAAACATTCTGTTGACGCATGGCTGAAAAACAACTGCAGTATTTAATTTGTTCATTTTTTATTGAATTTTTATTTTTGATTACTTTTGTCCGATTCAAGTTATTTCTGTGACCATTGTGTGAATTTGGCTCAAAGTAGAAGAAAAAGCTGAAATTGGTACAAAGTTGCTAAAACCAGGACAAAAGACGAAATGAGCTGTAAAAGGTTGTAGACAGTAACTAATCCATTACTTGAGTCTAAATGTCTGGCCTGAAAGGTGACACAACACTGGCTCTTTTGTTCTACTAGAATTTATAATAAGTTGTAGAAGCAGTTTATTTATTCAATCATTTGTTTAAAAGGCAGGAGGTAATCTGCCACTTCTAGACTTAAACATTTCATGAAATGAAGATGAATTTTATTCATACACCTGTTTAACTCTCTCTGTCCAGCCTTTAGTGACTGTGATTTTTGTTGGTCGATATTGTTTAGTTGACAAGATGAGGGTGTGATGTGTGTGTGTGTGATGTCTACCTTTCACATCTTCGTCTTCGATAGTGGTGTTGCTGCTGTCAGACGACTCCTGAAAGGGACAGAAAACAACATGCTAGTCAAACAAAAACCAGTGAAAACACTCAGCTCGCTCACAAATCATGCACACATATTTGCACAACACAATCAGATGTCTGCCATCGCTGCTCTGTGTTCACACCACTGCAATAACACAACGACAGGCTGAGCTCATCAACGGTTATTACAACCAGGAAGTGAGTGTTAATCATCACACACTCATCTCTCAGCCAGTGGAGACCACACGGCTGAATTTAGCTGAACACAGAGGGGCAGCATCAGGCAAGAAAACACGCACAGGTGACCAGACGCACACCCACTTTGTCTTGCTCATGCACAAATACACACAGACAACCACAATAAACCCTAGAGCTGAGCCCACACAGGTGGAGAACCAGAGTGAAGGCGAGAATGATAAATGAAGGAAAAAAGTTGGAGAGATGGAGGGAGAGGAGGATGTACCTTAGTCCCGTCTACTGGATTATGGATTACAGTAGTCTGTGGCTCCTGGAGGAAGAATGGACAGAAAGAAGGAGAAGAAAAGAGAAAGAGGGGGTGAATGAAGGTAAATGAGGGGTGTTTTCTGATGACATCATGAGTTTAGTAGAGGAAAATCGGGATGTGTAACTTGAGAAGAGTAAGACTGTTCTAAACCCTAAAAAATAAATCCATCAGTGGCATAAATATTTAACTCTATAGTTCACCTCAACAGACAAACATTTCTCCAATATATATACTATAT